AAAGGAATTATAGGGTTTATTCACCTAGGATAGACCGATTAACGGATTATGCACATGTCGTGTAGGCCAAGTGTTCGAACCACCACCCTCATGTGGTCGAATTGAAATAAATATATAACGGTGAGTTTTGTTTTGTAGTACATTTTTAAAAGTTTTTCAAAATATTGTGAGATCTCACCTCAGGTGAAGAGGAAAGCAAAATATTTTTTTACAAAAGTGTGGAAATCTCTCGTTAACAAATGCGTTTTAAAATCGTGAGATTGACGGTGATACGTAACGAGCAAAAGCTAACCATATCTACTAGCAATGGATTTGGATTGTTATCGGTTGAATGAAAATCAGATATGTGTCAATTAGGATGACACGCTGGTCCCCAAAAAGAGTAGATTGTGAAATCCCATATTGGTCGGAGAAGAGAACAAATTATTATTTATAATGGTGTGAAAATTGGTAGAATCATTTTAACACAGACTAACGGCAATATGTAACAAGTTAACACGGACAATATCTCGATAAACTTGAGCTGTTACAGATTTTGAAGGACTTATTTTAACCCAACCACGAGAAATAAATATTTTTTAAAGTATTTATAAAAAAATATTCTTTACTTTCTCATAAAAAAAATATATTTAATTTTTTTTAAAATCTAATAACAAAAAAAAACAATTTTTTATTTTTTTATTATTCAAAATCAAAATTTTAAATTACTTGTAATATAATTAATATTTTAAAGTTTATTTACTACAGCTGTTTTCACTCATTAAAGAGGATAAAAAAATGTTTTTTTTTTATTTTAATTTTAATAAATTAAAATCAATTTTAATAGCTTTGAAGAAACTCTGTAGAGATTAAAATTATTTTAAATTCATTAAAAATAAAGTTATATAATAAAACTGTAAATTTATTAATTGTTTCTAAAGCGTTTTTTCACAAAATATGGCAAACTTTTATATATATATATATATATATTATTAAGTATATTTTATTTAATAAATTGAAAAAATAATAAAGATAAATAAAAAAGGACTATCGTACACTGTCTTAATATTTCAAACCTTACTTTTACGGTGTCGAGAAAAAAGGTATTTCTTGGAAAGAATTAATAAGAAAAATTTAAGAGAACCAAAACTCGGATAAGGACCGTGAGAAAACCAATCGACAATGTCGGTCCGAGGAAGAGGAAAGAAAAAAAATAAAAAAGTAAAAATAAATAAAAATAAATAAAAATAAAAGAAAACTACTGTTCACTGTGGGAGATAAAAAAGCAAAAGAAAGTAGCTTCTCTCTCATGGGCTGTTTTTTTTCTCTCTCTCTTAAAGCCTTCCTTTTAGCTGACGTATCCACATGAGATATGAAGAGACCATTTTTATTTAATTTTAATTATTTATTTATTTTTTATTTTTTATTTTTACAATGAAAGAGACATTCAAGGTTGCAAAACCTTCCACCATCTTCTCAAATCTTATCTTAAAATAATTTTTTTTAAAAAAAATTGGGAGAAAAATCATTAAAATCTCGTACTAATGAGGGATAAATGAACGAACGTGACAATCTAAATCAACCGCTAGTAAATATTGTCTACTTTAGACCGTTACATGTCGTCGTTAACCTCATGATTTTAAAACGCGTTCACTAGGGCGAGGTTTCTATACCTTTACGAGAAATGTTTCATTCCTCTCTTCAATCAATATGAGATCTCACAATGAATCGAAATCATGTTCTAATTGGAGCAATATTAAGGATAGAATAGCTAAAAAATATTTAACGTAATTTTATGTTACTACTTATATCAATAAAGTGCACATTCTTTTTTATAAAAACGGTAATATTAAGCACGATTTATCTCGAGCAACTTTATATGTTGGGTGACCTCTAGAAAGTTCCGAATAATTTTTTATAAAGCTTTTGTTTTATGTTTTTATGTCGTGTACTGAAGATGGACTGAAAATAATAATAAATAAATAAATAAATAATAGTGTAACTCGTGATGCATCCAAGCTGTTTTCCTTTAATGAAAATTATCATTATTATTTTACCAACTTTAAAAAAAAATAATAAATAACTAAGTATAGATTTTATTGAAAATAAAAAAACTAAAATATAATTAAAAAAAAATACATATTACCATTATTATCTTACCAATTTGATAAACAAAATTTAAACGATTAAATATAAAATTTATTGAGAGTATAAAAGCAAATATACAATTTATAAAATTATCGATTTTTAGATGGAATTGAATGAAGTTATCCATTGAGCTATACTCGGATTGGCATAAACTTTTCATGTTAACGTAATTCGTATCATTAGAGTTTATTTACAATTTATCTGAGTTGAGTTGAATTCAACCAAATGAAAATTTTATTGTAAGATCCAACATTGATCGGAGTTTTAAAATAGTGAGGGTGATGAATATATGTAATAGGTAGCCGACTAAAACAGTCAAAATCTTCTGACAAACGGTGGACTTGACGGTTACATTTATACCTTATTTTATTAGTTAAGTTGATTTACGAGTTTTCATGAAATTAATTTGAATCGATATTTTTTAATTATCTATTATTCAACCACTATTAAAAATAAATTATATATTAAAATTAAACTTTAAATCTAATAAATAAATATGCATTATTTACTCATATTAAAACTAAAATTTGAATAAATGATATGCTTAATCCGAATTAATAAGTTTAATCCTTTATTTTTTAATTTAATGATAATTTCTTAAAATTTAAGAGAATAAAATAGTTTTTTTTTTAAACTAAATTAGAGGGGACGAGCTTATAAACTATATTTTAACATTAAAATAAAAAATGGAAAAATAAGTGTTATATATATATAAAAAAAAAAAGAAATAGAAATATTTTGGCTTTACATAGGGAGAGTGACACAAAAATATTCCTTTTCGAGCCGGCAAGCGCGTGAACAACACTCACCGATAAGACGAGCTTTATTATCCACACGAGTTAAGAATCCAAGGATTGGCGAGTGAAAACACGTGTCTAAGAGAAAGTAGGGGAAAGAGGTGGAAAAAAGAGTGAGATCTTTTGAAAGACGTGGCGATCACGTGCGGTTTGTCCGTAATTTATATAAGTATTTTCAAGTGATCATCTTCTAACCGTTGTAATACCCAAACGTTCATCTTTCGAGAAAAGCTCGTCGTATTTATGCATCTCGTAACGTTACCCATAAACCATCGTTACTTTCATGCACATGACCTAACATCTTGTAACAATATCCGTTCGAATCATTATGATATGAACTAAGACACCTCAATCATGCAATATGAACTAACAAAAAAAAAAAAAAAACGGATTTCATTTATTTTCACATGATTACAAATTTTGGGTCGATGTTATTTCATTAATATATTTTAAGATTTTTATTTACTTTATGATTATATAGTGGCTAATTATGGTAATAAAATATGAAAGTTATAATTAAGTTTCTAGTATAGTCTGACATGATCAATCTTGCTTGAGGATGATTCGAATATTAAATAATTATTAGTTTGAACAGATAAATTCTTCAAATTCGACCGGCTTTCCTTCCGAGGGTTATTTTGGTCCAAGTGTCCGACATTTTTGGGTCATATGTCTTCCAATATCAACTTTTGCTTATATTTGAAGCTAATTTGATTTTCATTAGTTTGAAATGTAAAGGGCATATGTCCTTGAATGTAAAAGATTATGCTTGTTAGCTACTCCTTTTACTTTTGTACCCTTCGTGCCTTCTATATTTTTATGTGGACCCTACTTTGGAATATTTTATATAAATTATTTTTTGTGACGTCATATATATAATTTTATTTTTTTTATTTTTTATAATTTAATAATATTTTAGTATAATGGATTCAAATTAAAAAATAAAAAATAAATCCAAATAAGAATTAGGAAAATATTCTATAATTCAAATTATTACTAAGAACATATTATTACACCAATTTCAGCTTTTATTATTATTATTATTATTTCAATTATTCTTATTAATAATTCCAAATTCACATATAATAATAATAATAATAAATAAATAAATAAATAAATAAGTAGATAATAATATATATATATATTGTTAAGGATAGTTGACCGTTCATTATAAAACAACTATCTAGATATTTGTCTTACATTACGGCTTATCATATTTATCATATTTGCCCTTTGATTAAAGACAAATTATTGTATTCATATATTATTCTTTCTTTTTATTGTTATTTCTATATTATTTGTAATCTACTATATTTCTGTATTTTGTAAATGATTATAAATAAGAGAACTCGATTCCCAAACATTTATTTTTATATATATATATATATATATATATATAAATAAAAGCTTTTAGTTTGACACTTATATATATATATAAAAGCTTTTAGTTTGACACTTTCTAAAGAATTGAAATGATGGGCCATTAGAAGCATTGATGAGACTTCCTGCGTCTTTGGGAGAGAAACAAAATATTTTTTAAGGACGTGAAAACTTCTCTCTAGTAGATGCGTTTTAAAATTGTGAGATTGACAACAATATGTAACGGGTCAAAGCTGAAAATATCGGCTAGTGGTAGGTTTGAGCTGTTACAAATAGTATCAGAGCCAGACACCGGATAGTGTGTCGGTGAGGACATTGGTCCGCAAATGGAGTGGATTGTGAGATCCCACATCGGTTTGAGAGAGGAATCAAGTATTCCTTATGAGGGTGTGGAAACATGTCTCTAGTATACGAGTTTTAAAACCGTGAGACTAATGACTATATGTAATGGGCCAAAACGGACAATATTTGCTAACGATGGAATTAGGTTGTTATAAATAGTTTAAGAAAATATTATATAAAGTTGTTAAACTATATTAACTAAATTTAAATTATATTCGTATAAATATCAAAGTTATAATTTGAGGAAATGCTTTGAGAAATAAATTTACCATCCAAGTTATTTATGAGTTTTAAAATAACGACAAAAAATAAAATAAAATTAAATCCCTTATACGTGGCGCGTGACATGGCAACTTTCGCGGGACTGGCTGGACGAAATCGGAGAGGAGCTGAGCGTCGCCGGAGGCACTGTCTCCGAGAGAACAATGACCGGAATCTGTTACTGCCCACCGCTTCCCCCATCTCTATCCCCCAAGGTTTGCATCTTCTAGCCGGTGGTTTCATTTCATCTCGCCGTCCATTTCTGTTCCTAATTCTCTTCGATTCATTTTGAACCATTCGTTTGGTAGATGGTAACCGCCATACGATGCTTCTCAAGCTCGCCGGAGAATTCCAATAGTAGCCGGAAGAAAGAGGCATCTGCGATTGTGAAAATCGCTGTGAGTGGAGTCACAGAGCTTCTTAGGCTTTTCTCGTCTCCGATCAGTAAGAGGTAATTTCGTTCTTGAAATCCACGCTCGCTTTGTAGTTGCATAAATAGTTTTCTTGAACATGCGAGGGAGAGATATGAATTCGATTCTGGTTCGTGTCTGTGTTGCAGAGTTGATGGAGTTGGGGACAATCAGGGAGAGGAATTTGTAGTTGCAGGCATCGATGATGTTCTAAATATCCTGAAATCAGATTATGAGAATGCTTACTTTGTTACTGGTATATTCATATATTTTCCTCTATCATGCTTTGTCATTGTGCTTATACCTGCACTAGAATTATGAAATCTTCTGCTCATTGCCATCTGTTCATGCTATTGGTATAATAAATTCTATGCAATTTCTTGCTTACAATTTATACATTGAGGTGGTAAGGCTGCAAATTAGATGACCCTTATTGAGGAGGTGCTCGAGTTCACCATTTTGGGAGAAGGGCAATTCCTTTCGTGCGAACTAGCTTCTTTGCAATACTATGTAGAGCTTGGCTTGAGAGGAACAATAGGATTGTTAGAGAGGTGGGGAGATCGTGTGATGAGGATTGGGAGGTGCTCGAGTTCACCTTTTTGGGAGAGGGGCAATTTTTTGTGGCAAACTAGCTTCTTTGCAATACTATGTGGAGCTTGGATTGAAAGGTACAATAGGATTTTGAGAGAGGTGGGGAGATCGTGTGATGAGGATTGGGAGGTGCTCGAGTTCACCTTTTTGGGAGGGGCAATTTTTTGTGGCAAACTAGCTTCTTTGCAATACTATGTGGTGCTTGGCTCGAGAGGTACAATAGGATTTTGAGAGAGGTGGGGTGGTCGTGTGATGAGGATTGGGAGGTGCTCGAGTTAACCTTTTCGGGTGAGGCGCAATTTTTTGTGGCGAACTAGCTTCTTTGCAATACTATGTAGAGCTTGGCTCGAGAGGAACAATAGGATTTTCAGAGAGGTGGGGAGGTCGTGTGATGAGGTTTGGGAGGTGGTGCGATACAATGCCTTCTCGTGGGGTTCGGTCACTAGGTCTTTTTGTAATTACGACCTTAGTTTGATTTCGTCAAATTAGAGTCCTTTTTTTTTTTTTTTGTAGTTTTTTTGGAGTCTCCCTCGTTTTGTTGGTCTGGATTTCTTTTTTGTATGCCTTGTGCGTTCTTTTATCTCTATGAATGAAAGCTTGATTGCTTATCATATATATATATACTTTGAATTGTTGCTGTGTGTAACTGCTGCATTAAACCAGCAATGAAGCTTTGTAAGTGTATTTTATGATGGGCTTATACTGAAAACAGGGATATTCACTTCTGCCATTTATGCTGATGATTGTCTCTTTGAAGATCCAACCATCAGGTTTCGAGGTAATAATAATCACAGAAACTTTTAGTAACTAAATGTGTAGTCCTCCATTGTTAATAGATATTGTCTTCTTTGGACTTTTCCTTTCAATTTTTCCATAAAGGTTTTTAAAACACGTCTACTAGGGAGAGGTTTCCACACCTTTATAAATAATGTTTCATTCCCCTCTCCAACCGACGTGAGATCTCACAATCCACCCCCCTTCGGGGCCCAGCGTCCTCACTGACACTCGTTCGCCTCTCCAATCGATGTGGGCTCTCACAATCCACCCCCCTCGAGGCTCAGCGTCCTCGCTGGCACACCGCTCGGTGTCTGACTCTAATACCATTTGTAACAACTCAAGCTCACCGCTAGCAAATATTGTCCCCTTTGGACTTTCTCTTTCAGTTTTTCCCACAAGGTTTTTAAAACGCGCCTGCTAGAAAAAGGTTTCCACACCTTATAAAGAATAATTCGTTCCCCTCTCCAACCGTTGTGGGATCTCACAATCCTCCCCCTTTGGGGCCCAGCATCTTCGCTGACACTCGTTCCCCTCTCCAATTAATGTGAGATCTCACAATGACAATCCTATTTTCAACCTTATTGTTACCAAATACCGAAGATTACATAAACTCAAATTAGAAGGCATGCATTGTTTCTGATTCTGCCAAGAAATGAAATGTAATTTATAAACACATTTGACTTATGATTGAATACTTCAATTTAGCAATCTTTTCAAACCTTAAAGCTGCTTTATGGATTTTTAACCCTATAGGTAAGGAGCTGTATTCACGGAATCTAAAGTTACTTGTTCCCTTTTTTGACTGTCCCTCAATCCAGTTACAAACGATCGATAAGGTAATTTGTTCTCGTGATTGAATCCTTCTTCTTCCGTAGATCAATGAGTTGGCCTTTTGCGCACAAATCTTTTAACTTTCAACCTGCTGCTTTTATGCTTTCTTGGGGGCAAAATTTTATTGAACTTTTGGTAAATCTAGGGGATGTATATGGCAGCTAAGAACGGGACGAGTGAGTAAAACGTTTGGTTTTCCCGAAGAGTGTAATATTTTATTTTATAGTTTTAAAATATCAGCAGATCATTCTTAATATGAGACAGATAAACACCAAATAAACTGTTCTTGGAAAATTGATCTTTGTCTACTGCACGTCCAATGTAACATCCCAAGCCCACCGCTATCAGATATTCTCCTTTTTTGACTTTTCCTTTTGGGCTTCCTCTCAAGGTTTTTAAAACGTGTCTGTTAGAGAGAGGTTTTTACAACCTTATAAAGAATACTTCGTTCTTTTCCCCAACTGATGTGGGATCTCACAATCCACCTCCTTCGAAATTCCTTAGAAGACTTTTGCTGATTTTCATGATCTACATGATTACAGGGTAACAAATCTGGAGTTGAATTTGTGCTGGCAGCCTGGAAACTAAGGTAGGTAGCCAATTATTTTGAATTGCTTGAGGCTTTGGAGTGTTGGGATCCTTTCATTTCTGACTTTGAGGCTTTTCCTTGTGTTAATTCCAAAAGAATATTGATATCTACAGAGACTAAATTGGGTTGAATGTAACCCAAATCACAAGGACTAATATGCCCTGTAGTTGGAATTGCATTGGTTCTTTCTGTTGGTATTTTCAATCTTTTTCATCATTTGCTTTTCAAATTCTGGACGTTGCCCGAGTTATTTAAGATCTCCCACATTAGTAGAAATTCCCAATATTTATTATTGGCTTGCAGGACATACCTGAAACTTCCTTGGAGGCCACTCATTTCTATTGATGGAAGTACTCTCTATGAACTTGATGAAGAGTTGAAAGTGAGAATCAGTAATCCTCTCCGCTATGTTCTTAAGATGGTTTTAGAAAAAGCATATTTTCAAGTTTCTAAAAAATTTATTTCAAGTTTTGTAACCACCCAAGCCCACCGCTAGCAGATATTGTTTTCTTTGGTTTTCCCTTTCAGGCTCCCCTTAAGGTTTTTAAAATGCGTTTGTTAGGGAGAGGTTTCCACACCCTTATAAAGAATGTTTCATTCTCCTCTCCAACCGATGTGAGATCTCACAATCCACCCCTGTTTAGGGTCCAGTGTGCTCTCTGCACTTATTCCCCTCTCCAATCGATGTGGGATCTCGCAATCTATGCCCCTTTGGGGCTCAACGTCCTCGCTGGCACACCACTCATGTTCACCTCCTTCGGGGCTCAGCATCCTCGCTAGCACACTGCCCGGTGTCTTGCTTTGATACCATTTGTAGCAGCCCAAGCCCACAGCTAGCAGATATTGTCCTCTTCGGGTTTTTCCTTTTGGGCTTGTTTTTATAATACGTCTGCTAGGGAAAGGTTTCTACACCCTTATAAATAATGTTTCGTTCCCCCCTCCAACCAACGTGGGATCTCACAAGTTTTGTGCTGAAACACATTTTCTAATTTGCTCCTTTCTTTTTCAACTACCAACTAAAAACTAAGGTCTAGTTGGATAACCATTCATTTTTAGTTTTCTATTTTTAGAGATTGTGTTTGTTTGCTCATAATTTCTTGAACACAATCTGAATCTTTCTGGAAAAACGATAACGATGATGTTTCTTAGATAGTTTCTTTTTTGTTATATGGCATTCAAATATTTGATTGCTTTCCATTTCTCATCCTATCAGATAGCAAGGCATGCTGAGAGCTGGAGTGTTTCTGCACTTGAAGCAATAACTCAGATATTCATCCCTAGTTTTAAAGGAGACTGAGAATTGTTTGCTAGGATGAACACAAACTGCTCCATTCAATTGATTTTATGTTGTGTTTTAAATATTTATGTATAAACTTTATTTTGATATAATGTAAATATAATGTATGGTATGTTTTAAATTCCCGTTTGTTTTATTTCGCAAAAAATATACCCATCTTTTTGGAGCCATCGAGTCAGCCCGGTCCTTACATAACATGTCAATACTACAATGCTGATATAGCATCATAGCACTGTCACCCATCTTTCTTTTTTCGTCTTTTTTTTTACTATGTCGAGTCGCTATTCTCTCGGGGTCTGGACTTCCTCATTTGCCTTACAGAACTTTTTGGTTGTTTGTGTTTTTGTCCAAATTGAACGACACACCTCTTATCCATTATCAAGTTTGCTCTTTGACGAAGCTTTTCGAGTTTAAGCCTCGCCATCTCCAAGTTGCCTCTTAAACTTATGCCAGTTACATACCATCCATTAGTCCAAGTTCCATGACGGATCATCTGATTGTAGACATATATAATGAACAACAAGCTTTCATCAATTATATTTATAACCTTCTAATGTGGATGGATCATTCAAAATTTCCATCATATATCGAATTCTGTTCTCTCATTTTTGTTTTCAGGCAGTTTCTCTCAGAAATTAATTGCATGTCTTTGCTTTCCCAATATGTTGTACACTCATACTTCATAACGCTCGCCCTTCCTCTGGTTACATGACAGGGTTAACTGCCACCAATTGATGGAAACGCCTGCAGTAGAGACTCCACACAAGCAGAGAGCACTTAGAAGAATGAATTTCTACTAAGAATTTATAAGGTTAGACATTCATTCATTTGCTATTTTACTCATTTTCCTCCATATATCTCTCTTAGAATTTGTTTTCATAACCCTTTAGTAGTGATTTTGATTATCTAAGAAGAACGAACACGAACACGAACACGAACACGAACACAGAACATGGTAACGACATGGATACATCACCCGTCAAGTTCTGAGAAAGCAGGACACAATCATGTTGGGACATGTTTTTTTTAGAATATGTATAGATTGGTATATCAATACTTCAAAATATACTTCACTAGAAACATACAAAGTTAAGTCAATTAACAGTATTTGAATACTTGAAAGATTTAGTTTGCTATGATTAGAGGAAGAAGATTCATCCTAAAGCACTAATCAAAACATAGGCCCAAAATGTACTAGTTAAAATTGAGATTTGATTGCTGTAAGCATTTTATTTCTTTGCTTTCTTTGTATTGGTCTGCAAGGAGTGTTAATTTGTTCTTCCCCCTATGTGTACTACTCTCTTTAGCTTTCATTTTCTGGATTTTGATGATCTAGTTCGATGAAGAACATTAGATTTGCAGGCTCAATATAAGTAAAACTTGTGGGTAGTACTTCGAGTATTATATGATCCATTTGATCTTTCATGTCCATTATTTTCCATCTTATTTAAGGAAACTGTCAGCCATCAAACAGCTATTCTACCTGAAAACCCGTCCATCACAGTTATGAAACTGATGTATCTTCACTTAATTCTTTTTTTTTTTTTTTCTCAGTGTCACGATGGTGCTTGTTTGAGGGTGTTGTCTATGGCCGCATGCCCGTTGCATGTCAAAACCCTTGTCTTGTATCACTTTATTGCTTTCCTTCACTGCTTTCATGATGTATAGCTTCCGTATTGTATTTTCTAAGTATATGATGTTTCGGCAAAATCATGTCTACGTCTGGTAGACCTGAAATGCCTCCGAATGTACTGTAGGAGGATGCGACCAGTCTCAACTCCTCCCACCTAGATTTTGTATGACCGTTTGGCAAAATCACGTCTAGGCTTGCTGGACTTGAATCGCCTCAAAATGTACTATAAGGGGATGCGACTAGTTGTCAAATTCTCCCTACCCGATAAGTTATATGCTATTTAAGCCGTTGTGTTGCCTTTTCCTCGTAGTCATATAACGTTTCTTTCAACCTTGCTTTTAAGCTCTCTTTCAAAAATCTCTCTGTCCCCGTTTTCTAAAACCTTCTTCGCCCGGCTGTAGGCGACGCGATCCCAAATTGGCTTGACTCACTCAGTGTTGGGAGTGAGTGCCGCACAATCGCAAAAGTCCGTTAAGAAAAGTGCAAATGTGACCACTTACAATTAAAATTTACTGTTTCTATTTTATCTGCTGCCATAACTTTTGAGACAATGCTGCATGAGTTAGATCTGTTACTTTTCTTATTGCAAGCTTGACACAATGGTCCTTTGGAGCCTAATGCCATAGCGTTTAAAGTTATATCATGGATTAAAATTGCACATTCATCACCATAGACTGTTCAAGCTTTCTCTAGCCCCTTCTTAATGGACTCTTGACATATGGGAAGGACTGTTGTTTGATAATTTCAATTCTCCATTTTAACTCGCTGCCAACTTGCTCACAGCACCCTGGCCTCTGTCTTGCCATCTACCACAACCGCCGGTGGAGATGAAGAAATGGCTGATGACAGACAAGCGAGTGGACGTGATTCCAACCATGATACCATTGCCCGGAAAAGTAACGGAATCGTGGCATTGTAATGAGTAAAACATTTTAAAGGGAAAGTCCTAATATGTAATTGATTTCATGTCACTTCCATAGCAGGCCAGTGGTGAAGATGCTTGGATTGACAAAGATGGAAACTGAGGTGAAATTGCTGACATGAAAGGGCGGAAGGTATGTCTCTCCTTTTTTGTGATTTCTTGCTCTTGGTCGGCTTTTACTTTCCCCCTGCTAAGGAAAAGGGGGATATTTCGCAAGTCTTAAAAGGGACATCCCCCCTTTTGTTCTACTTCCATAAAATGGAAAGTAACATCTATAACTATTGCCGCTGACATTTGTTACTTCAAAATAAATTATAGAATAGAAATTTGGAATATATACTCCATTTTTTGTTTATCCAATCCCATGAGATCCCATATCGATTGGAGAGAGGAACGGGACATTCTTTATAAGGGTGTGGAAACCTCTCCCTAACAAACGTGTTTTAAAAATCTTAAGGGGAAGTCCAAAAATAAAAGCCCAAAAAAATAATATCTATTAGAGGTGGACTTGGACTGTTAAAACCGAATGCTATATTTAAAGCTACGTGTAATGCAGTAGATGTTGGATTTATAAATGTATTTAAGATATTGTTTGAAGGAACTAGCTTTATGTAGCCCCCCCCAGAAAAAAGAAAAAGGGAAAAGAAAGGAGGTGTAGAAAATTACATAAAGCTGGGAATTGCTGTCATTTCATAATGACACAAAAGATGTTGAAAGTGTCTAACTCCAATATTGATATTGATGGTGAACACTTGTCTCTGAAACGAATGCCTCAATATGGCCATGAAATGACTGAATTTTGTGATCTCTGTTTTTTTTTTTCCATGAATAGGATGGGTTTCATGTGCACCAGCAAGTGTCCTAGCTCATCGCTAGTAGATATTGTCCTCTCCAACCAATGTAGGGTCTTACAATCCACCCCCTTGGGGGTCCAGCGACCTCGTTGGCACACCGTTTGGTATCTAGCTCTGTTACCATGTGTAACAGCCCAAACCCACCACTAACAGATATTATCCCTTTCAGCCCATAACGCATCACTGTCAGCTTCACGGCTTTAAAACGTGTCTGCTAAGGAGAGGTTTCGACATCCTTATAAAGAATGTTTCATACTCCTCTCCAAGTGGGGATCTCACAATAAGTTATTTTGTTCATCACCAAAGTCGTTTCTTTTCGACACAAGTTGTAAGTCAGTTCGATTTAGTTTAGTTCCGAAATCGAAATAGTTTCGTTTGGGCTGGTTTGATTCATCGGATCGTTTACTTACGAAAACCCATTGAATCATGTATTGAACAGGTCGAAGATCGTCCTATAAGCGAAAAAATGAATCTGAATCAGATGCAGATAATGGGGAAATTGATGAGTCCGGGATTGATGCGTCAATCATATGCTTGGTTTTGTGATTTGGGGTGTGGAAAGGCACAGAATTGAGGTATGATGATCTGGTCCACCATCCCTCATAATATAAGGTACCTCTTTTGTTTGTTTCCAACAAAATGATTGCTGTTCATTACCCACAAAAAAGAAAAAGAAAATGAAGAGAAAGTAGAGTGTTTAGTCAGTTTCAAGTGGTGGTGTGATTTGATGATCTGAAGCAGACCCTTTACAGAGCTTCTTTTGACTGCTAGTTTAAGGGTACATAGAGAAATTCAAGAATTTGAATGCATCTGCCATTTGGCCCATTTCATTCTTCATGGTCACATCATAAATCTTTTATATAAATTCTCACATCAAAACCTTGGAGGACACCAATCAGCTCCTATCTACTTTTATTCATTTTATAGCTAAATTCAACTTTTATATGAAACCGCTACTATTTTATTTCAAAAATATCTTTACCGTTAATTTTGAATGAAGCTGCTAGTATTTTGTTTCATATCTTTATGCTTAGTTTTGGATTAACCGTATTTTGTTTCAAAAATATTCTACCGTTGATTTTAGATGAAACTGCTCGTATTTTGTTTCAAAAATACCCTTATAGTTAGTTTTGGATGAGCCGGCAGGTATTTTGTTAAAATATCTTTACGGTTAGTTTTGGATTAACCGTACTTTGTTTCAAAAATATTCTACCATTAATTTTAGATGAAACTGCTCGTATTTTGTTTGAAAAATACCCTTATAGTTAGTTTTGGATGAGCCGGCAGGTATTTTGTTAAAATATCTTTATTAGTTTGGATGAAACTGGTAGTATTTTGTTTCAAAAATACCTTTATCGATAGTTATGGATGAAACTGCTAGTATTTTGTTTAAAAAAATCCATACCGCTAGTTTTGGATGAGTATGTTAGTATTTTGTTCAAAAAATACTCTTACAGTTAGTTTTGGATGAATCCGCTAGTATTTTGTTTTACCGTTAGCTTTGGATGAGCCTGTTAGTATTTTGTTCAGTTAGTTTTGGATGAGTCCACTAGTATTTTGTTTCGAAAAATACCCTTACTATTAGTTTTGGATGAAAGTGTTAGTACTTTGTTTCAAAAATACCCTTACCGTTAGTTTTAGATGAACCCGCTAACATTTCGTTTGAAAAATATCCTTACCATTAGTTTTAGATGAAACCGCCGGTATTTTGTTTCAAAAATACCCTTTAAACTTTAAATTTCATTAAAAACACCCTTATTCCGTTAGTTTCATTAATATCTTTAATTTTTTTTTTTAAAGTTCAAAAACTTATGAAAAAAAATACGCCTAAACTAGATCTTGTTTTACTTATTTTATTATACTTTGTTTAAAAAATATTTTTAAACTTTTAAAAACTTCGTCACATGAAAATCGCTCGAGGACAGCTTTACTACCTCAAATCAAATGAATTAGATCTAGTTTTATTTATTTTATTAATGACATAGTAGCTGTCTCATTTTAATTTTATGAAATTTAGCCTATACTATTTTTTAATTATTGAGATTATAATCATTTATTTGATAAAAATCTCAAAATGGTAACGATTAATTTTAATAATTTCAAAAGTTTTTAGGAATTTATAACCTAAGAGGTAATTTATGTAATAATGTTTCATATAATAATAATAAATACTACCATATATCCATACCTTTATCACAACCACATATTTATTTATTTTTTATTATTATTATTTTGTTCGTCATTTTTAAAATATTTATTTTAGTCCTAATTTTTAAAAACTTACCATTTTCATCTCTACTCGTAGAATTTCGACCTAATTTTATTTATAATGGAAATCCCTTTAATGTGAATTTATTTTAATTAGATATAAAATGAAAAATAAAGGAACTAAAATGTTAAATTTACGAAGTATAGGGATGAAAATGAAAATTTTGTTAAAATAGTATTTAAGTCTTTTTATTTTAAAATTTTGAATATTCGTACAGGACGAGAGGTAAACAAGACAGATGTCAATATAATAGTTGTTGGATTCACGTGTCGTGTCAATGAAAACATTGCATGCACATCGCTAAAGATGTCAAATGTAATGAAACCAACCTTATTAATGATACAAATTAGAATCAAAGTCGTTTTTCAATTATATGTTTATCCCAATAACTCCGGAGTGTAATTATTTTTAATTACGTCAAAATGAAATATTTCATGAGAAAAAAAAAAAACTTCAAATAAAATACTAAAATTAATTCATTCCAAATCTAAATATTTCCAAACTTCCAACATTCACAGTAAATTTTGTAAGATCATATTTAAAATTAAAAAAAAAAAAAATTGTCCAATAAATTTTAAAATTTTAATTTTGTGTCGAGTAAATCTATAAATTTAAAAAACATAAAGAATTAAATTTATAATTTTAAAAGTTTAAACGACCCTAGATGGCGAGAGTCTAGTATCACTAGCTTACGCTCTGACCCGAGTAGCATGGGGCACATGGAATCCCGTGTGAATCAGCAAGGACCACCTTGCAAGGCTAGATATTCCTGGGTGACCGATAGTGAAGTAGTACCGTGAAGGAAGGGTGAAAAGAACCCCCATCGGGGGGTGAAATGGAACATGAAACTGTAAGCTTTCAAGCAGTGGGAGGAGACCAGGACTCTGACTACGTGCCTGTTGAAGAATGAACCGACGACTCATAGGCAGTGGCTTGGTTAAGGGAACCCACCGGAGCCGTAGCGAAAGCAAGTCTTCATGGGACAATTATCACTGCTTCTAGACCCGAACCGGGGTGACCTATCCAGAATAAACCACAAATTCAATAAAATAAAATAAAACAAATCATAGTTTTCTCCAACCCCTTTTGAGTTGGCTAAAGGAAAGCAATGCCATTTTTTTTTATTAAAAAAATAATAATAATAATGATAATAATATAAAGTTGGAAGTGCAAAACAGCTAAGTATTTTTTATAGGTGAGATTGGGTGATTGAAAGGCGCAAATCAAGGAATCCAACACATTTCAAACCCTATTTCTCTAATCATTTTACCCCTTCCCTTTCTTTTTCTCATTAAAAAACTAAAAAAGTTCGGCCTCTAAATGTCGGGTTTTGTATCTAAACTTGAGTTCAATACGTAAGTTTATTCATCTCAAACTACGATCGAGTCGTTTAGTCTCTAAACGTTAAATTTTGTGCCTGTTTCTAGGTTACTAATTCTCGGTTTTATGTCTAATATGTTAGTGAGCTTCTAATTTTGTGTCTAGTAGATCTCTGAATTTTTAAAAATTTCATAAGTTCAGGATTAAATTTGTAATTTTGAAAGTTTCGGGGACTAAATAGACAAAATCCTTAATGAACTAATTTTTTAGTGTAAGTTTAATTTGTTCATCCAAGGTATAGGTGTCGGATCGTGCGTTTGTTAGAGAGGGGAATGAACATTTCACTATTAGAAACCTTTTAAAATTGTGAGGCGAAGATAAGTAACAGATCAAAGCGAACAACATCTACTAGCGGTGAGCTTAGGTTGTTACAAATGATATCATAGCTAGACACCAGGTGATGTGCTAGTAAGGACGCTGGCTCCTAAGGGAGGTGGATTGTAAGACCTCGTCTGTTAGGAGGGGAACAAAGCATTTCTTATATGAGTGTGGAAACTTTTCCCTAACAGACGCATTTTAAAACAGTGAAACTGATGGTGATACGTAACAGGCCAAAGTGAACAATATCTATTAACAGTGGGCTTGGGTGGTTAAAAATGATATCATAGCCTGACACCAGGCAGTGTGCCAGCGAGATAGTTGGCCTCCAAAATGGGTGGATTGTGAGATCCCACATCCGGTAGAGAGCGGAACAAAACATTTGTGGAAACATCTCCCTAACAAACGCTTTTTAAACTGTGAGGTTAATGACAATACTAACGAGCCAAAACAGACAATATCTGCTAAATGTACTTGGAAACATATACCCAATATTTTATTTACACTCCTCAGCAAGAAAATTATTTATTTCAATTTTATTTAAAATCAAATTTACTTCATTTAATTTAATTTTTTTTTTAAGGAGAAGGAATTTAAAAAAAAAATGGTAAATATGTTAAGATTGAAATTCAGGCAAGAAAATTGTAATTAATTAACCAAAATTACTTAGTAATAATAAAGAATAAATTAAATAAAACTAAGACTCTTGATTGATTGACATGTCATGTGATTAATAATTTATAATCAAACAAAATACAACTCAATCCCACTTATTTTTTTCCATTATAATGAAAATTTCAAATAATATATTTATTAAACCATAAATTAAAATTAAAATAAATTATTAAAAAAAAATGTAAACCCATAAATAAATTTTAAAAATAATTAAGTTAATCGATAATTATGTTTAATATATATATTAATTATTTTTATTTTAGATACAAATTTAAAAAATATTAACAAACAAATTTATGAACGGTTTAAAAGAAAACATTTACTCCCATTGTCTCCATATGTCTCTCTCTCTCTCCCTTTTAATAGGAAAAAGAGAGTTGTCCAAACCCATTGGGAGAGCTCAAATTCTCTCTCTCTGCCTCTCTCTCCGCTTTGAAGCAATGCTTCCATCTTGCTTCAGCCACTCCGCCGTCTCCTCCACACTCTCCAATGATCCAATTCCGCCGCCGCTCTCCATAATCAGCTGCATTTACCAAACCAATCTCTTCAATTCCCCCACTCTCCTCACCCTCACATGGTCTCTCTCTCTCTCCTCCCACTCTCTGTCTCTCCACTCCTCTCCCTCCGCCTCTCTCTCCGCCTCTCTCTCCACCTCTCTCTCTCTCTCCCCTTCCTCTTTCTCCCTCTTCTCTCCCACCTCCAAATCCATCTCCCTCCATAACTCCCACAAGCTCAAGCTCCATTGGGATTTCTCTACAGCCAAATACACCCCCAATTCCGCTCAACCCATTTCTTCATTCTACCTCGCCATTTCTTGTAATGGGAAGCTCCAATTCTTCCTCGGCGACCTCGCCGACGAATTTTCCCGGCGGGTTAAGTCTGTCGTCCTGCCGGAGGAGTCCACGCTCCTGTCCCGTCGGGAACATGTGTTTGAACGGCGAAATCGCTATGTTTCGAGGGCTGAATTCTTGGGGTCGCTAAGGGAAATCGCGGTGGAGCTCTGCCGCGGTGTTCTGAAAGTTGCCGTCGATGGGGAGGTTAAGCTCGCCGTGAAGCGGCTGGCGTGGAAATTTAGAGGGAATGAGAGGTGGGTTATTGTGGAAATCAAATTCCATGGCGGATTTCATTAATTGATTTCTTGATTTTGCTAATTTGTTGTACATTAGGTTTTTTATCGCCGGCAATGCCGTT